GATGAGTTTGAAGAACTCGGTGTTTCCTGATGCACCTTCTTCTGATCAGTTTTTGAATTTTAGTTTGCTTGGCCTTCCTGGATCTGACACGCCCCTCTCGCCTTTCTGTGGCTCTGCTCCAGAAGTAGACTGCAACCTTCTCCATACCCTTCACTGACTCAGAGGAGGACACATTCACCTTTATCTACTTTATTTCAGCCTTCAGTTCTGTTCCCTTTGAGAAAACTAGTCAGTAATTTCCCCAGCTATAATAGCCGAAGCTCAACTCACTTTAAATAAAGCAGCATTTATTGGCAATGTGTGGAACAAAGAGGAAAAAGTAATAAAAAAAGATTGTTAGATAATATACATCTCTATAGATACTACAAACAGCACCTTCAAGCTAGCCCAAAATGTAAGTTAAAGAAAAATCTAAGTTACCTACATGTCACCAAACTCATTGCTCCTCCTAACGAATATAAACCTGTGTCTCTTCCAGGCTACTTCCCTTCCAAAATTATCTGATATCTTTGGGTCCACTTCAGATTACAGTAGTTCTGTATTTATTGTCCCAACCCACATTTTGTCTTTCAGATGAGCTCATCCATTGTTCCGGTACAGCTAAGTAAACAGCAAAATAAATTCTATCATGCAGGTTTGCCTCCAAGCATTCAAAACCCTTTGCATATTTTTTCTTTAATCAAGCTAAACAATGCTTTTAAAGGTGACCTGTAAAAAGGAAAAAACCCACAACCCACAACCACCCAGAGCTTGGTTTGTGCAGAACGACACCTCCCCTTTGCTTTTTCAGGAAAATGACCCTGAAATCTGAAAGGTAACCACTTTTGTTAAGGCAGAAAACAACAAAGATGTAGACCAGAGTTTTAGCCATAGAGATGCAAAGAAAGCAGGATCTGTGGTCCCTTCTTTAATTCTTTAGGTTTCATTTTGAAACTAAACCCAACATCGTATCAGTAACATTTACGATGAATTGGTGATTTTTTTTTTTAATAAAAATTCAGAAATGAATGCTAATCTTGTTAGATGATATACTCCTCAGGCCAGAGACTAGATCTTCACGTGTGACTGTACAGCATTCTATTAAATACCAACCTACTCTTGACTGGGATCTCTGGGTGCTAAAGAATAGATAAACTAACACCTAATACACAAGAACAAAGAGAAGTAGATGTGACCAAAGAATTCCTAGGGATTCGGAATTCACTCTGTCAGGTTTTCCTAGTTGCTGCTTAACTAGCTGCTGCTTCACGGAAAACAGGAAATCTGTTGAACAGAAACTTTCTTGAGCCAAGAGAATCAACAGATGTACTGATAATCTTATACAAATAAGAAATAAAAGCGGCCAGCTATACTTGAATATAAAAAGATTAATATGGAGCAGGCAAAGCCATGGCTAAAGATATTATCCTCCCTTCAGTAGGAGAAGATCAAGAAGTCAGCCTTCAGTCCAGCTCTTGAGAGTCAAGTCCTACTCTAAGATGCGGAACATTTCCACAATTTCATCAGCCACATACTTGCCAAAGGAAATTGGATTCTTTCCACTGTTTGAGATGGCAGTGAAGCAGGACCTGTATAATTAGGTCAGACCTGATTACCTAGAACAACTGCAATTTCTTTGCATCTCCGTGCAAAGCTTCTTGAAATGGCAAAAAGTGAACAGTCAGGAGCAGCAGAAAGATGACCAAAATCGTTTTTGATGGGGATTTAACTCTCTTTTAATATGGATGATATATTCTATTAATATCAGGGCAGACACATATTGTTCAGTAGAGCTCTTCACCGCCTTTACACAAAAGCTATCTCTTTGCATCCGGCTGACTCTACTTTACTGACCACTTTAATATTCACTTTACAATTAATGCTTCTTTTTATGGGGTGGTGGAAGGTAAACCAATTTCAGTTCAGCTCCTATGTATTGAATTTATTATAAAAAGTTATGTACTTAAAACTCCTCTAATGAAACCAGAGGCATCATGTGATATTAACCTAAAGTTAATGCTAAGGAGGTCAGTTTGAATAATTCAATTCATGTCACCTTAAGTCTCTTTTCAAATGGAATTAACTTTATCACACACACAAAAAAGCTTCATGTTCCAGATTCTGACTGACTCCACGCAAATTCTGTTTTAAATCATTTACCCAACAATTTCAGTCTATCACTGCCAAGATATTTCTTTTCATTTTGAGGGTTGGCGTCTGTTTAAGGGCCCTACTAGTAAGCTAAGATTATGAACAGCAATCCTGAGGTCACAAACACAGGACAAGATGCAGGCCAACTAAATGTACCACAAAGCAGCAGCATTAGTTCAATGTGGATGAGACTCAGGGCTGCATTTCAGTCATGGATGAAATAGTATTGTAGCTCCTACAGTCATTTGGTTGCTACACAGCAATCCATTTCTTCTCTCAACAGCATGCAAAAGTTTGGTAGCACTACAGCATGTTTCATTCTCTTTTGCTACCCCCCATTCCTAATACTAAAACCAGCTTTTGGATAATAAAAGTTAACATTGCACTAACAGTCCAAGTGTGCTGAGCATAGGCAAAGCCTTAGCAGTATTTATTCATGTAAAAATAAGGAAAGAAGAGGAGAAAAGAGAACAGCAGAAGAGGCTGCACTGATGGGTGTGGCACGAAAACACAAGTCAAATTTTAAAAAATTATCGTTAAAAGGGAAGAGAAGAACAGAGACAAGAGAGTTCTAAATAGATCATATTAAGAGGCATTTCTTTAGGATGTAACTGGGAACCCTCTCATGTGACTTTGCACAACAGAAGAGAGAAAGTCAGTTATATGGAGCTGTTCTTTGAGGATCACCTCTGTATATTCATACTTGTAGATTTGGTGTCTGGGCATGAACAGTGTAGACAGCTGGAGACACATGCATGGCTGGACCATAAACAGTAGGAGTTCACAGAAGAGATCAATACCTTGACGTTCACAAGTATTGACCCATGAATACCAGGATGTTGGACCAAAAGGTGTCAGCGAGGCTGAAGTTAGAAAGCAGCCAGCAATGAAGGGGCCTCATCTTAAACAGAGAAAATAGTTGCGGCCATTATCATAGGATAAAAGATGGACAAATAGGACGGGCAAGGTGAAAGGTCTCGATGCCCCACACTTCAGACACTGGGGACAGACTTAGTCCCAGTCAGGACTCCATGATGGTCATTGGCGCCAAACTCTTTGTCAAATGGCAACGAGCTCTAGATGCTGCTCCAGTGCATGCAGAAGCACCCACCATCCAGATACTTTCTTGTGTCTGCCTTTACGTTTTAGCATAGATCAGGAGTGGGGAACTTTGTTTGGTTCGGGGCCGCTGACCCACAGAAAAGTCAGTCAGGGGCCGCGCACAGTCTCTGACATAGCCCTGGCTGAGAAGCAGAAAGACATTCCTCATATTCCCTTCACACACCAGAGCCATAGGGGGCTCAGCCTGGAAGATTTTGGGTGCTCCAGCCCCACAGTAGCAGGCTGGAATGGCAGCGCAGGCTTCGGAATGGTGGGGAGGGGACCATGAGCCTCAGGGGCTGGATCCAGGTAAGCCAGGGGCCACATCTGGCTCCCAGGCCTCAGGATCACCACCCCTGGCATAGAAGCTATGGTGCGTGACCTGATATTGGGTACTACACAGGAGCAAGAGATGAAAGCTGGTTCCAGGCAAAAAAGTTTCAAACATAAATTGCTTCCTCATGAATAGTGGCCTCACCGCAACCACAGCTGGCACTACCAGGGTGGTCTGCGTTGTACTACTGAGAGCGCTTCAGCTTAGCTTATTCACATTCCCCCGTGAAGTGCAGGTATGCGAGGGAATAGCAGGACCAGAAGTTCTCAGGCAAGATCGGCTAAACTTAGCAACTCCACACTGGACAAAGACATACAAGATTTTCAATGCGGCAGAACACAAAACTATCTACTGACATTTATAGAACCCAAACCTCACCAGCAGGATGGTGTGTACAATGGGAAGCTGAAGAGAGAAGTCAGTTCCTCTTTCTAGATACAAAGTACTGTTACACACTTATTAAAAAGGAAAGCCAAATGCCACTCCCCAGGACAGACTTCCTCAATAGCTGGCTGTGTCTGCGCAGTTTTGTTAAAACGTAAGCTCCACAAAGCAGACAGCATGCCACCTTCTAGGTTTCCTGCAGTGCTGAGCTCATTACCAGCACATAACAGTTAGGATAATAGAAGCCCCTAGCAGATGCTTCAAGGCTCAAGACCTAAAATGTATTAGAAGCTATAGGCTTATGTGAGACACCGAGAATGGAGATCTGCAGAGGAGTGTTTTAAAAAGGAGATAAGAATAACATTGGCCAGCACCATTATCTTCATCCTGGCAAAAGGATCAGCAATCAGCAGGTACATAAATCGAGTAACTATCAGCAAATCACTAACCGCAAGTCTTTAGCTCCTTTCTGATTTCAGCACACTGGAGCCGTAGACCACTTAACCACTTATGTAGAACATACAGCATCTCAACCAGTTATTGTCTCTTAACTTTATGTGCAAAATAGCAGTAGTTTTAAGAAGGTTTAAAATCAGATGGACTCCTGATAGACTGGGAATGTTCTGATCACACAAGCTCATCTGCTTCCATCTTTTCACTTGCTGAAAATCATGTTGGAAATTTGAAAGGCTATTTCTTTAAAAAAAAAAAAAAAAATCTTGAGCAAATAGCTCAAATAAGGCAACAGTACCCTTACCTTTTTCCTAAGGCTTCAAAGAAAGGGCTTCCTCACAGCTCCCTCTGCATTACAATAGAATCAATGAAGTTGACCTGATGTACTGATCCAATGACTGCTTTAAGTAATAATTTCTTACCTCTCGTCCATTTATTAGGGAAAGGGCCATGGAAAAGCCAATCACAGAATAGTGCAAGAACATTTATATACCGTAAGACAACACATTACAGTTACAGAGCTGGCAGTAAGTGAAAGTGTGCTTCAGTGGGATCAGCAATACAGTCATTAAAGAAATAGTGAGGGGAAAAAGCTTACCTGCGGCTCCTTCAGCTTGACAGCACCACGCTCCGAGAGAGAGGCCGTTAGCTTTTCTTGCTGTTCAGATAGATACTTCTGATACAGGCTCAGAAGTTCCTGGCATTCTCTGTACTGCTGCTGCAGAGGTGAGATAGCAAGTTAAGGAGAAAAAAAATTCCTTATTGAAAAGTTAAAATCAAACTCCAATTTATTCTGCTCAGAAAATGACACACCATGTGTGCAGAGTGAGGGAGAGGCGAGGAGGAGGGATGGGAGGGTGGAGATGCCTGGTTACTATGGACATGCCCAAAGGGAAACGAAAAGACAAAGTGCAATCTTATCCCTCCATCTTTAAGATGGAGAGGAAGGACCTTCACCAAATTTACAAACATGTTAATGAGAGTTCATTTAGGGATGTTAAAACAATTAACCAGCCAACCATTTTAATCTAGGTCCTGCCGCCCAGCCAACAGCCTGGCTCCACTACGGCCACAGGGTCCTGCCATCAGGCCCACCACAACTGGGGCTGCTCTAGCCTGCCCCACCTGGCCCAGGTTAAATGGCAAGGTCCGGTTAACTGGTAGGCATACCAGTAAGCCTCATGCTTAATGATATGCTTGCCACTTAACATCCCTAATTTATTTTCGTACAGTTACAGCACCCATTGCATTAGAATTGTGAAAGTGTAACCGTGTACATGGTTAACCGATGAGCCTGGGCTCATCTGTTAAGCTTCATGGATACATGCAGGCTCCCAGTATGCATGGCTCCAGGTGCACACTGGCCCTTCCTACCCCATACCACTGCCTCTGTAACAGAGACTGCAGCCTGAGGGGAGGGGTGGGTAGGAGACAGTGGTCGTGGGGAGCCGGCTTAAAAGCTGAATCCTTGCATGCACCTGCTCCTGGAGAGCTGCCTGCCCCTCTCCACGTGAAACTACTGAAGTTTTCAGTGGTTACACGTTTACTGAATTAAATGCATTTTAACATCCCTACTTTGCATATGTGGTCCTATTTAACTACAGAAGACAGCACCAATGCTTTAATTATCAGTAGCCAGCCGATAAATAGTCCACTTTGCAAGTACAGCTCTGGATTTGGTGCCCAGACACCCAATTTGAACTACGGATGGATCATACACATAGACAAAGTTGCAGGACTACAGGACTTTCAGAGTCCAGCAATGATTTTTGGACTGTTATCTGGAGAAACAGCAAGGATATTAGAAATATCTGTGGCATTTACAAGGATATTAGAAATAGTGCCATGCCTTGCTTGCAGCACTGAAATTCCAAAAGGAGAAAATATGCTCTTCACCTGTCATTGTGTAATTCCCTCCCTTGCTCATTTAGTATGGTAAACCATTTGTTCTCCTCCCTCATTTCACCCGGCCCTGATTTCAATTATGCATGCAGATGGGATAAGGGCTCAATGTCCAAAGAGATTACTCTGAATAAATACTTTAATAACAAGTCATCGCAATTAAGGTAGGGAACAAAAACTTCTTCAAATATATAAAATGGTGTTGGAGTTACAGATTTCCTTAACATTTTTATGATCTAATCATCGCTTCTGGGCAAATTCATGTTGCAATCATTTTTGCCAATCATGGCTGCATAAATAACTCATCGCTTTGTTATTCCCCATTACGATTCTTTTAAAAACGGGAGCCAAAAATGGGATGAGCAAAGCTGTCTGAGGAGGGAGCAGAAGGGAGGTTATTAAGAGCTAATGCTAAAGTAATAAGGAGAGCTCCGAAAACACCTTTGCTCAGCATCTTCAAATAAAGGAGGGTACAAACAATGGTCTAAACAAGCTAATTGCTTTTTCAAGTCAATCTATCTGAAGCCTGAGTGGTTTTACATTTCTGTGCATTTTGTCAGGGAGCACCAAAAGGCTGACGTGATTTGTGGTGGTCTCAGGAGTCTATGCCAGCTATGATGTATATAAAAGGAATTTTTTATTCGGGCTGTAACCATAGGCAGTAATGTTTATAGTAGGTGAACATATTAGCCTGGACGCAGGGCATGAATTTTACTGTAGAAAAAGCCAGTACATTTATACGGCCTAAGAGTTAAATGTCAGTATTTGAAGACAAATTATAGGCAAATTCATTTAAACCCATGTTATGTGGCAGAATATAAAAACAGACAGTCCTATCTTTATCAATTTTTTATGTCCCTCTTAATTCACTCTGCTTCCAACAGCCCTCCCCCTCAGACAATGGGACGTTACCCCTCTATTGCTGTTCCCTGTCGACGTGGGTGAGTAGCAAGTGTGTCTACTGGCTTTGGGGTACACACACAGGAGGGCATATCTATCCTTGTTTTGGCCAGTGCAATACACACAGCTCTGTGGGTCAAACATGAACATTGCACAGTATGCAAGTCACAATCAATGAAATTAATACCCTGGAGATGTGTTAGAGCAGAGGGTCCCAAACTGTGCTCCATGGCCACTGGCACCCTTGATGCATTTGCTGTGCACATGACGATGCCTCCTCTTGCTTCTGGCGGCTAAATTTCATTCAAAGAGCACTAAAAACATGACTGGCATTGTCAAAAGCATATTGTGTGTTCACTAATGGGAGAGGTGATCGTTTGCATGCACATGAGTGGGAGGAGAGAAGTCCCTGAGACATCTTCCTTTCTTAAATACCATTCATATTGTGGCAGTGGTTATGAACCCCCACATTAGAAGATAAAACCTTGTTCATTCACACAATACTAGGAACATTCATTGTGAATTAACGAGCAAGCAAACAAAAAAGGTACATCACGGTGTTCTCTGTTCATTCATTTAGACAAATGTAGCTTAGTTTTATCTATAATGTTTCCTGCTAAGCCAGTTCATTTACTGCAATATAATTTTCTAAGCAGAAAGCTTTAATATGAGATATTACTCTTCTAGTCTATTAAATCTTTTCTAAAAGTGGGGAGAGAGCATCTTACTTTGTAGGAATTAACAAGATTCTACACGATACACATGTGAATAGGACCTACACTGTTCAATTGGAGGTGCACAGACACATTGTTGATGAGGAAGCTATAAGTACCTACATAGACACCGAGGCTGATAAAGTACTTTCACAGTCTGCTTTGAAGAAACTCACCAATTTCATGGAGGGGAAAAAAATAAATCTATCGGACTACAAATCCTAGAATTGAAACATAGCTAAAGGCTCAAACAAAAAAAATCACATCTCCTTAAGAGTTCAAGAATCCAAATACTGGATTAACACGATATTAATTATCTGATTAGAGCTGCTTATAATTTCACTGAACTATATTCTCATTTGTGGTGCAAAAAATTAACACTCGAATTACTGTTGTTTGTTACGTCCAAAAAAGTTTGCTAATGCAGCATTCAGACTGTATAGTATCAAGGGAATCAGACAGTCAGGAAATGCAAAGGTTCAGGTTTTAACAGGCTAGCCTTTGTATCTGATAATTGTTTCACTAAATGAATCCTAAGTCACAGATCAGTTCACTTACGGCTGTTCAAAGCAAAGACCTTATTGACAGAGGGATGACTTGGAGAAGGGAGTGTGCATTATAACATACTTCCAGGAGCAGAAGGGGTGGAGAGTGAACTGAGCAGTATGGTGATCCTTGTCACATGCTCCCCCCCAGCAAAGTCTTTCAGCTGCTTGCTGACAGCTGGGATTGGGGCAGGACCATAGTTACCACCCACTGCGCCAGCTTGCCCCATTTGGCACAGTAGGCACGTTAACATTTGCTTGACGTTTTGTCATGTTCACTGTGCACACTGTAATATCCCAACATCACAGTGTCCCCACTCCTGCACCTTTTCCCATTCAATTTAACATAAATCACAAAAAGTTAGGCTTGGAAGAGATCTCAGGAGGCCATCTAGTCCAACCATCTGATCAAAATAGGATCAACCCCAACTAAATCATCCTGGCCAGGGCTGTGTCAAGCCGGGACTTAAAAACCTCTAAGGATGGAGTTTCCACCCCCTCTCTAGATAACCCATTCCAGTGCCTCACCACTACCCAACCTAGATTTACTAACATTTGCTTTGTTTTTCATTTAAAATCTGGGGATCGTTCCAAGCACTCCTCCTGAAATTTTTCACGTACTATGCACAGCTGAACCACTAGTTTAACTTTACATGGAGCCACCAAGATCTGGTTATTGAGGCACCAAATTTCAGTGAGTGGCATTGAGACTTGGTGCATGGGGTTGCAACATCACTCACATTTGGCTCTATGGCCCTTTTATGACAGATATCCAGGTAAATCTGGACTAATTGTCGCTCTTGATGGCAGACCCGGCACAAAGGAAAAGGACTGAGAGAGTGAACTCCCTGCACTCATAGGGGTATTCCCACCACATCAAAGAGGAAGAAGATTAGTGTAGGTACAGACCTGTTAGGACTTTTTCACTGCCACTAGGCTCCTGTAGCTGTTCTGTGACAAAGAAAGAACTTCTGTCTGGCACACTACACCAGCTCTAACATAGGACCTCCTCTTGCACCAATGGCTTTGAATATTCAAGTTTTAGAAAAGACTAAGACTGATTCAGAAACCTCAAAAGAAGAAAATTTTGTCACCAGGTCAGTCAAACCCAGCTCTGGACATTATATTTGGTCTACCACTTAAAATCAGCTTACAATCTCTCAACAACACCACAGAAAAGTTGTGTAAGGCATCAGTGATGTTTACAATTTTAATGCTTATTATGATAGCAAAAAAATCACAATACCCAATGTAAGCAGGGGTTCATGAACAGTCTGCAGGAAGACTAAGGGCCCATCATCAGCTGTTCACCTAAGCTCCCAGTAAATTCCATTAAAAGAGAACTGGATCTGAAGTGGGTCTTGAATTTTGCTTTTATTAAAAATTAATTTTGTCTTTAATTAAATCGTCCGAGCATAACATTTTTCATATATTGACACATTTTTCAATCTAGTGATAAAAGGGTTTACTTTCCCTTTCTGAAGTACAAAAACGTTGTCTATCCATAGAAGAAACATGACACTGTTCCTTAGGAAAAGAAATTAAACTGATGCCACTCTCATTGCCACCTGGAGGCTCTCCTTTCTTCCTAATCAAGAACAAACCAAGAACCAATGTGACAGGATTTCATCTACTCGCACATGAGAAGTCCCCCCCACACACAACT